AAAAAAAAAAAAAAAAAAAAGTATGTCAGGACCTACTAATCAGAAGACCTAAATCTAGATAGAAAGGGCAAAAAGGACAAGGGACATCAAAGCAATCAAAGCACTTATTCATCTAAAAAGGTGAATAGCTAATTGTTTTCTCAGTAAAATGAATAAATAATTCAGATTTTTAAGAAAAAAATTGTGGCCGGGCGCGGTAGCTCATGCCTGTAATCCCAGCACTTTGGGAGGCTGAGGCAGGTGGATCACCTGAGGTCGGGAGTTCGAGACCAGCCTGACCAACATGGAGAAACCCCGTCTCTACTAAAAATACAAAAATTAGCCAAGTGTGGTGGCGCATGCCTGTAATCCCAGCTACTTGGGAGGCTGAGGCAGAAGAACTACTTTAACTTGCGAGGTGGAGGTTGTGGTAAGCAGAGATCGCGCCATTGCACTCCAGCCTTGGCGAAAAGAGCGAAACTCCATCTCAAAAATAAAAAATAAAATTATGAGATAGGCTCTTGCTGTGTTGCCCAGGCTGGACTTAAACTCCTCAGCTCAAGTAATCCTCCTGCCTCGGCCTTTTGAAGAATTGACTTTAATCACTCTATCGCTCCTTCCACTTCCTGCTTTTAAGGCATAAATTAACTCATACACTTTAGCTCCTTGCATTTGCGACAATCCATTTATCCCAAGCCAACGAATCACTCACTTGAAGGCCACAAAGCTGTCATTCTCATTTTTTTCCTTTTCTTAGCAAGGTCATTGCTTTTCATGGGTTTATTCATTACCCCTCAAGTTCAAATAGAAGCCTAGGTGCAAGCTACGTATAGCTTACTGCAATTCCATATGTTGACACCTTCTTTAATGCAGTTCTAACCTGCTGCCTCCCAGGTTTGGGAAGAGGTGGTGGCTGGTTGGGTGGGCCCAGTAAAGGGTCGGAACTTGAGGGAGAATAAAAGGAGCTGTGAGGAAAAGCCGTAAAAGGTTTACTCTTTTATCCTGTCAACATCTCCCACAGACGCTGTGCCCACGCTAGGCCTAGCCCAGGAGCATCACAGACCCACACTCCAAGACTGTTTTACAAAAGCGGGGGACCCGCAGTGGAGGGATCTAAGGTGGGCAAAGACCGAATGCTGACCCGCCCAGGAAGAGCAATAGGACCCAGCTGAAGAGGGAGCGCGGGCCTTCGGCGGGGAGGCCAGGCCAGACCGAGCCCCCGCGCGACACTGCTGAGACCCTCCAGCCGCGCCGGCCACCCGGCCGGCCACGCCCCTGCCGCGCCGCAGACGTACTCAGTCCGGTGCTCCGCGCCGCCCGCCTCACGGCTGCCCAGCAGCTCCCGCAGCTTGTCCGCGGCCGGGGCCGTGTCCCCACCGCTGCCCCCGCTGCCCTTCAAGCGCTGCCGAGCCCCTCGGCTCGCCATGGCAAGCTAGGGGAAAAAAGATTCGGCACCCTATGAAGTCGGTGAGCGCGGAGACTTAGCTTTGGCTGGTAAACGGTGTCCGCCGAGGGACAAAAGATCTTGACATGCGCAGAAAAGACTAAATTGTAGAGTTACTGGGCCAATCGGGGCAGATCCTCGAGTAGCGAAGAAATAGAACCGGAGCCTTGAGTTTCTTCACCAGGGCTGTCCCATCCACCTACTTCTAACTCTGTAACTCTGGCCATTCCTACCTTCCTCCAACCCTCTCTTCCTTCACTTTTCAACATTCTCCATTCTAAACACACACACACACACACACCACCACCACCACCACCACCACCACCACCACCACCACAGCTCCCCTATTTAAATGAAAGCACAAATAGAAAGTGATTAAAGAAATCTACATAGTGAAATGCGAAGTATTCAGTTAAATATCATAGCACAGCTATCTACTAAAAGAGAAGTCCTTAAAATGTCATTTTTAGGCCGGGCGCGGTGGCTCAAGCCTGTAATCCCAGCACTTTGGGAGGCCGAGGCGGGTGGATCACGAGGTCAAGAGATCGAGACCATCCTGGTCAACATGGTGAAACCCCGTCTCTACCAAAAATACAAAAAATTAGCTGGGCATGGTGGTGCGTGCCTGTAATCCCAGCTACTAAGGAGGCTGAGGCAGGAGAATTGCCTGAACCCAGGAGGCGGAGGTTGTGGCGAGCCGAGATCGCGCCATTGCACTCCAGCCTGGGTAACATGAGTGAAACTCCGTCTCAAAAAAAAAAAAAAAAAAAAAAAAATGTCATTTTTAATACCTTGCCTTCTCTGTATTTTGGTGAGAGCGACAGAGACAGCCTGTAGCTAAAAACTGTTTCAGACTGACAAACTGGTAATGGCAGAATGTAGACTGATGAAATTCTGTGTGGCAAACTGAATCAGACGTCCATCACTGTCATTGCTACTTCAGCATTGTGGTAGGCATTTTACATATTTTATGCTTTTTAAACTTAATACAACCACCTTGTTTTATTGATCAGGAAACTAAATAAACTTAGAGCTAGTAAATGGTGGAGCTATATTCCAGCCCAGGACTATCTTACCAAAAAGCCCATGCTCTTCCCACCAGATCGGGTGAAAGGTCTTCATTTCCTACAATCCTTTTTATACTAGCATGTTGATAATATCATATTTGTGACTCTTGGGGGTCATTCATCTAATCCTGACACTCTATCCACTCTCCTAATCACAGAGCTATATCCTACTCCGTGGAGCTCCATGCCAGTAACTGTATAGAGGGAACACTAAACTTGACAAGGTCCTAGAAGGTTGTGATTTCCTTCCAAAAATTCCTAAGTATTGAAAATGAAAATTGATCATATTGCTCAATTCCTGCATGCCATGCAGTCATTAGTTACCAAGTTCAAGTATCCAGCTTAGCTTTTTTTTTGTTTTTGAGACAGAGTCTTCCTTGGTCACCCAGGCTGACTGTGGCACAATCTCAGCTTACTGTAACCTCCGCCTTACAGGTTCAAGAGATTGTCATTGCTTAGCCTTTCAAGTAGCAGAGACTACTGGTGTGCACCACCACACTGGCTCATTTTTGTATTTTTAGTAGAGATTAGGTTTTGCCATGTTGGCCAGGCTGGTCTGTAACTCCTGACCTCAAGTGATCCACCTGCCTCAGCCACCCAAAGTGCTGGGATTACAGGCAGGAGCCACTGCACCCAGCCTAGCTGTATCTCATATACCCATCTCCTCCTTTTCATTTAACTCTAATGCAGGTCCCTCCCTACCTCTCTACCTAGAACTAACACAATAGCATCTTCACAGGGATTACTCATCTCAAATTCATCCTGCACAACATTATTTGGTTAATTTTCCAAAGCACTACTCTGTGTCACCTCCTTAGTTAAAAAAAAATCAGATTTTTTCCTATTGCCTACCAAGTAAAGTAAAAACTCCTTATTCTAGCATTTGGTCTTGCATGAACTCCAGCCCCAACCTACCTTTCAAATCTTATCTCCCACTACTTTCCTATTCACACTTTACATTCCAGCTAATTAGCCTAGAAAGTGCCCCCAAATGCTCCCTTATCTATATCTCTGTTCATGGATGCCCTCTGCCTGAAATGCACACCCTACTTGCCTAATAATTCTCCCTTTACATTCCTGCCCTTGTTTTAAGATCCAGATCAAACACCACCTCCTCCATGTACCAAACACTACTGAGGAAAGAAGAAAGGGATAAATCACATTACCTGCCATCAATTAGCAAAATAATATATGTGGAGAGCTCAGCAATAGATGTGTCCGTTAAGAGATCCCTTGGTTCTTTATCCCACTCCCCAAACTTACTCCCCAAACATTACTGGGATGACAGTGTTTCCATCCCAGTGAATGACACTTCTAATCTTCTAGGTATCCAGGTCAAAAACTGAGGAGTCCTGCTTAATTCCTTTATTTCTCTAACCGCACACCTCTCTCACCCACACACAAACGTTTAATTCATCAGCAAGTCCTTCCAGATATTATCCAACCCAACATTTTACTACCTTGGTCCAGGTCATCATGTTCTCATTTGCATTACTGCAATAACCTCCTAATTTGTCTCTGTGCTTCCATTTTTGCTTTCCTAAATGCTTTTCTCCAAGAATAAATAAGACAGTCATGTCCGTCACAGAATATAATCCCAAATGTGGAGCCTAACTATGAACAGGAGCATACATTACTTCACATTAGAGTACCGCATTCTGCAGAAACCTAGGCTAAGTTAATTTTCCAGTGTCCCTTGGAGGTACTTATAACAGAAGGCCCCAAAATCTAGAGAGGCAAAGTTTGGAGTTAATCACAGTTGAACAATTACTGTTAAGACTAGCAAAAAAGTAACAAAGTGGCAGAAACAACATGGGCTTTAGAGGATCCAAATGTTAACCCTAAATCTGAAGCTTTATTAGTTCCATGACTTTAACAAGTCAACCACAGAATTAAAATTATGATGATGATAACAATACCAAAACTAATATGGAATACTTACAACTTACGAAGCTAATAAATGTTGGTCTGACTCCAAAAATTACTTTCATAAGGTGATTTAATGAAGTGATACAAGAAAGTTGAGGGAAGAATAATTTACAGTGTGGAAAACATATGTGTATTTAATGAGACTCCTAAGTTCTACAGCCTCCTTCAGCAATAGAGCATCTTGAGTACAAAATGCTGTTTTGCTTATTGTTTCAGTCACTTCTCAGGACCAAAATATTGCACAACTCCAAATGTCACCAATTATGTACATTATAATCTATAAGTTTAAGTGACAGAGTCAAGGTATCTTTAGGATCAACCAACAGCAGCTATGGTCACAAAGTAAAAGATTAAAAAAAAAATCCAGAAAGGACTACTGATTAGAAGTTGGTCATTTTCCTCCACATCCCCCCCAATGTAGGATCACACCGTAGAAAAGAATTTAAACTACCGAGGTGTAACATATAGGCGTTGTTGAATCTCCTTCCTAAACTGGGACTGCATTGATGATACCTGCTGCTGGGTGAGGGCCTTGTCACAGGTCTGGTAGGTCAATCTATAGCAGAGACTGACCTGTTGAGTCTTTGGATGCTGATAACGGCTAAGAAACTGTATGGATATAACAGTGTCCTGGGACACTGCTCGGGCCACAGTGTGAAACTCTAGTTCATCAAATCCTTTCTTCTCATCTATCCAAAAACTAATATCATGGACGTAACATGGAGGATACAGAGAATGACTTTTAAAGGGTTCTATTTTTCCAGGGACGAAATTTTTCAGGAAACGGTTATCAAACGTCCACAACATTCTCCAGTCAGAGATACACCAGACAAGCATGGCTAATAGGTCCAAGTTCATGGACACAAACACAAAACACTGGTCTTTATGTATAATGCTTGTTGCAGATGTGGTAACAGACCCAATAATTAGATCCTCAGTATAATCTGGGCTAAAATTATCAGTCTTTACATGAATCATATAATCCTTTCCATTTGACTGAAGGACAAATTCAACTAAACTGCTCAGCTTAGAGATCTCTGGCGATGTCTGAGTCAGCAGGCTATCTACAATGCCCTTCAGATGATCCAGCAGTGATTGAAGACAGCCATCCTTCAGATTTTTATTAAGCCCAAGGATAAATAAAGTCTCGTGAAATGCTGGCATTGTGAAAGGCAAAATGTGGCACTTCTGAAAGACAGGTCCACTGAGGATGTGCAGAGAACCTGAGAGGAAGTCTGGTACTTCGATAATATCCTGAACATGAACTAGGAGAGAAGGTCTAAGGCAGACCTTAGCCTGGCCACAGATTCCTTCATAAGCTGCTTCTTTGCCATCTCTTCCAGGATTCTTGGGAAGGCTAAGTTCTGAAAATGACACTAGAAAGTCTTCCACATCTTGTGATGTCCCACCAGTCAGGGACTCAGAATTTGAGTTATCTTCATGGAGACTAATCCAAAAAGCAGCTGACAGAAAGTCACAATTCCAGAAAGGAAGAACACTGGCACCTTCCTGTGGCAGCAAAGGGAAGGAACATTTCAGCCTTTTTAGATGGAAAGCTTTGCCTAATTCAGCAATGAGTTTCTCATTTATGGTTTTGATAGGATGACATGAAGGTGCTTCCAGGAAACCCCTGTTTAAACACATACAAAAATAATTTTTCTAACTGAAAACAGTAAATAATTATAATGTAGCTAGAATTAAAACACGAACAGCTGGATACAAAAGAATTATTCTTAAAATGATCTTGAAAGGAAACAAAGAAATCATCTACCATAAGGAGAAAGAAGCAGGTATTTCAGAACTTTGACAGCCACCATCCCTACAATATATCAGAAAATATGACAATTTTTAATTCTAAAGAAGCTTAAGGAGGCCAGGCTCACAAATAAACATAGCACCAACATCACTAACAATTTATGTACCATCCATTCAATATATGGTTGCCATCAAGACAAACAGCATACAACTGAAGATGAAAGTGACTTCCAGTTACCTGTTCAACTTTCCTACAAGTGCTTCTGGTTCTCGAAAGGAAAACCACTGGTTACCCAGTTTGATCCTGAAGATTCTGGGTTGAGAATCTTCGAAGGGTAAGCTCCTGGTGAAGACATGGTTCAAAGCACCTTCTACATGAAAGGACTTATCTTGACTCCTTGCAAAATAGACACCAATATGAAGTCTGTCATTATTAAAATAAACAAGTATTTTTAGAGACTGAAACAGTTAATTGGCATGGCCTAAAAGTCTGTCTACGAGATTTTGTTATCATTAGTGAGACAGATGAAAAAGCAGAAGGTTTAGACCTATGCTATTACCTACCTATATCCAGTACACTTGTACCCTGGCACAGCTTTACAGCTGAATGGATACACATCACTTAAAATAAGCCCACCCAGGGCTGCCATGGCAACCACTTGCCAGCTGTTGTGCCATTCTCTCTGGGGTTTATCCACAGGAGTTCCACCTTGTCCTCTACATAATGCCACGTGGACTTCTCCTTCCTCTGCAAGAACATCTGCACAGCTAATAGGGAGAAAAGAAACACCAACTAATTATCATCAACAAGCGGAAATTACCACAGGAGCTGGCAACATACACATGGTTTGCCTGTGCAATAATTAAAATCCAATCATACCTATGTGCAAAAATCTATTAGACCCCCAAAATACAAAGAAAGTAGCTGGAAGTAAATGCAAATGTAAATTAAATGTTCAACCCACTAATGGACACTATTGGCTGACCAGTGTCTGCTTTGCATTTGTGTTGCTCATCTGTATGTCACAGAAAGGTCAATATCTGCACAGTTCCTATACATGATTCACTGCTTAGGCTGTTTCTTCCCATTTAGAAAATTATTTTCACTGCCCTCTTGCAATCCAAATACTAGCTTAAAATACTGCCTCTGTCAAAAGTTTACTGACAGCTATGCCCCATCGGACACCTCCAATAGTATCATATCTTGTGGTATAATCATGTAAAGCACTGTTTTAAGTTCGCAATAATTTTATGAGGGAGGCTGTTAGTTACCTTTTTTTTGGAGGTAGGGGGATAGAGTCTTCCTCTGTTGCCCAGGCTGGAGTGCAGTGGCACGATCTCGGCTCACTGCAACCTCCACCTCCTGAGTTCAAGCAATTCTCATGCTTCGGCCTCCTCAGCGTGCCGCCACGGCTGGCTAATTTTTGTATTTTTAGTAAAGGCAGGGTTTCAACACATCGGCCAGGCTGGTCTCAAACTCCTGACCTCAGGTGATCTGCCCACCTCAGCCTCCCAAAGTGCTGAGATTACAGGCGTGAGCCACCACGCCTGGCCTAGTTAATTACTATCAATATCCCTAGTTTACAGTTGAGGAAACAGAAACATGTAAAGATTAAGTAAGCTTGCTTAAAATAACAAAACTGTTCAGTGGAATTTGAATTCAGGCAGTCTGGCTTCCAAGTGCACGTTCTTAGCCATTAGACTATATGGCTCTCATTATTTTGCATTATCAAAAATAAATGATCCTCTTTTACACGCCCAAGGGTACACTATGTGTACTTTCATTTAGCATTTAGGGTTTATATATCTGTCTTTCCAACTAAATTGGGGATTCCTTTGGGGCTTTTTATTCTCTTCTAAACATATCATAGTAGCTTACACGTGTGCCTTATGTTTGGGTGCAGTAACTATGTTATGGACATTTTAAACATTTCACTTGTGAGGGCTCTCCTTTCCTCACCTTTGGAAAAACTTGGCAAGCAGTTCCCTGTTCTTAGCTACGCCAGCTTTGCGTCCACAGTGCGGAAAGTTGAAATAAATCTGATGAAATTCCCTGTCGTGCAGTTCAAAGACATCTGACAGCTGAGTGCAGTCGACGCCGAAACGTACGTCAATACCTGACAAAGACAGTTTGGGGGCGCAAAATATAGACAGGAGGATGTCTTAAGGACTGGAACAGAAAAACTCTTCCTAATTTAAACCGTGCAGACCAGCCCAAGTCTGGGCACAAGGCCGGCTTTATGTGAAAATCCGGGGGACGATCAAGAACAATCTCCTTGTGTGTTACAAACCCACGCCCCCACCCTTTCCACTTTGGGACGTGCCGGCAGCTGGGCGGGGCTTCGCAGAGGCGGGGTCTCGCTACCTCGCTCAAGCAGGCACTGCAGATTCTCCCGGGCCACCGGATCCCGAGCCACCTCGGCCGGGAGCTGGAGGCAGGTGGCAGTAAGACGAGTGCTCTGATCCAGGGTCTCGCTCAGAGCAGCGGCGAAGGAGAAATTCCCCTCTCCAACCAACAGGAGGCGCCGAGGTGCCATGGCCTCCTTGGGCTCCGGGCGCGCGTTCTCTGTGGCGCTCGTTTTACGTCACTTCCTTCGCGGATCTCTGCCTGCCCCCCCCTTCACCCGTCACTAGTTGATGACGTACTCATGGCGTCCGGTTGTCTGGACGAACTGGTGCACCGACTCCCAGGGAGAATAGTAACTATGAGCTCAAAAGCAGGACGCACACTCCCCGGTCCCCTCGCCCCTTCACCCCTTCGGGAAGATCACAGTGTCTTCAGCGCAGAGCATGGCCTTGAGCGACTTCATCACACCTGCATGAGGTCACAAGCAGTCACTAACGCTGGGGTGTGAGAAGAGTTCTGAGTGAAAGAAACGGGGCCGGGCTGAGGCCAAAGAGAGGTTGTACTGTGTCTCGCATGCCCCAGACGCAGAGGATTTTGAAACCTTTTTCATCTCGTCCGAAATGGCTGCATCCCAGTATCTCTGCTGCTCAAAACTTCTCCAGGTGCTTCAATCTGCTGTCTTCTATTCATTCAAAAAAGATTATTCAGTGCCTGTTATATGCCAGGCCACTGAGGGTGGTTAAGATATATGGATGAACAAGATATGGCCTATGATTTCACTGAGCCTACAGTCTAGTGGGGAATGCACAGAGCAAAAGAGGCAACTCTGATATGGTAGGGTGTGTGCTATGCGTGAAGTGATTCAGCGTGCTGTGGGAGCACAGAGAAGGAGAACTTTACCAAGATTTTGGGCAAAGTGGGTCAAAGACTCCTTGGATTAGGTGAACCCGAGTTGAAAGCTGAGAGGGTAAAAGTGCCACTTAACTGGGTCAAGAGGCGTGAAGAGGCAGAAGGAACAATATACGTAAAAGCATGATGGAGAAACAGAATAGTTGAGTTTGGCTGAAGCACGGTTGGTGGGAGAGTGAGTAACAGATGAGATTGAAGAGTTAGGCAAGGGCCAGGTCATAGGGAGCATTGTAAGCCTTTAAAAAATAATAAACTTTTACTTTAGATATGGGGGTACATGTGCAGGTTTGTTACATGGATATATTGCACCCAGGTAGGTTGCAGGTTTGTTACATTGGTATATTGCACCTAATAGTTTTTCAACCCACAGTACCCCCTCCTCCCTACTCTAGTTAGTAGTCTGCAGTGTCTGTTATTTCCATGTTTAGGTCCACATGTACTCAATATTTAGCTCACATTTATAAGTGAGAATGTCAGAGGTGTTTAAAACAGAGCAACTCCATCTTGAATAGGTAGGGGCTAGGCAAAATAAGGCTAAGACCTGGGCTGCATTCCCAGTAAGTTAAGGCATTCTTAGTCACAGGATGAGAAAGCTCAGCACAAGATACAGATCATAAAGACTTTGCTGATAAAACAGGTTGCAGTGAAGAAGACAGCTAAAATCCATCAAAACCAAGATTGCAATGAAAGTGACCTCTGGTTGTCCTCCCTGCTATACTCCCACCAGCATCATGACAGTGTACAAATGCCATGGCAATGTCAGGAAGTTAGCCTATATGGTCTAAAAAAGGGAGGTGTGAATAATCTGCCCCTTGTTTAGTGTATAATCAACAACCACAATATGGGCAACCAGCTGCCCTCAGAGCTGATCTGCGTATGGAGTAGCCATTCTTTATTCCTTTACTTTCTTAAACTTCCTTTCACTTTAGGGACTTACCCTGAATTCTTTCTTGCATGAGATCCAGGAATCCTTTCTTGGGATCTGGATAAGGACCCCTTTCAGTAAGAAGAACATGCCGTATTTGGTTTTTTGTTCTGTTGTAAGCTATTTTCGCAGGCTGAACCTTATTCTGAAAACCGTAGAAAGCCACTGAAAGATTTTAAATAAGAAGATGATACAATTATACTTTGATTTTGAAAAATTCTGCTTTCCTATGGAGAAAGGTTTGGAGAGAAACAAGGCGGATGGCAGGATAAGACGAGGCAACTGCAGTAATGGAGACAAGGCTGACAGTGATTTGAATTGAAGTTTGCCAGTAGGAATGGAGGATAGTGGTCTGATTCAAAAATCAACAAGACCTAGTGATTGGATGAATGTTAAAGACAAGTCAGAGTCAAAGATAAGCTGCAGGCCTCTGGCTTGGACAACTGAGTGGGTGGTGATGTCTGTCATTCCAGCCCTAGAGACAGTGACACCTAGATCTCCAGTCTGAGTACCAGGCCCATTGGTCTTTGTGGGACCAACTACTCTGGTCATCATGTTGTTTGATAATATCAGTGCATGCACCTGTCTTCACAAAGGCAGATTGTATGAGGGTAGTTACCTGAGATGTCATCCTCAATGCCACATTATTGGCTTTGTTTCTGCCTGTGCAAAGGCAAGTGGGTGGTGACTCCCAAACATGGCCATTTGCCCATGGTAATCTGGGTTATTCTTTCTTTGGAGTACTAGGAAAGCCAGGTTTGGTGACATCTTTAAAGAACATGGAACAGCCAAATAAGGATTTCTGTCACTCTCCTAAGAAATCTTCAAATAGCTCAACCTACTCAACATCAAGTTACTCTTCTTCAGGGAAGGTATTACCTTGTTCCTAAGCCAGGGGACCAGACTTACATTTTGAGGAAAAAAGGAAGATTGAGTTTTTACCTTATAAAAAATGAAATCAGACATTGATTATCTGGTATAGGCAAACCAGATTAATTGGGGAGGACAGGCAGGACAGGGTACAATAATGAATAAAACAGATCCTGTCCTTTAGGGGCATACAGCTCAGTATGGGAGATATAATACAGACTTTAAAAATGCCAATATATGGTATAAAGTTATAAATACAGTGAAAGATATGAAGATAAAATTTTATGTGAGATAAAAACAAGCTAACTTCAGGGGAGGCATCATTTGAGCCAGAAGGAAGGAAATGATCATTTATTACTCATTTACTGTGAGAGTTATTCAACTCTCATTTCTTTCTATTCTCTTTGACTATAGCAGTGTCCTTAGTCCCTAAATGCCTACATCTCAAAATTACCTAAAAATTTAGCTAATTATCCATATTGTTTTGGGAATACTGGAGTTTTTCCTGTCTTTTTACGGGTTCTGGGGAGCAGGGGTGTGGGTTTAATCTATATAGTCATCCACTGTTGCTGATTGAGAGAATAGATCAAAAGATTCCAGGACTTAGAGAGAAAGAAACAGAACCATAACAAAGCCTGGATCTAAGTGTGCTTGTGTTATACCTGGCTGTGTAAAATAAGAGTGGAAAAGGATGCTTTTCCTGTTTTCTGGTTTGTTCAATAAGCTTTTCTATTCTTGTCTTTTCCCAGAGACAGAACCTCGCCTGTTTCCTCACAAACCCACACTGTGGCAGCCTCATTAATGCAGATGGCCATGGTGAAGTGTGGACAGATTGGAATAGTATGTCCAAATTTTTCCAGTATGGATGGAGATGCACCACTAATGAGAATACTTATTCAAACCGTACCCTGATGGGCAACTGGAACCAGGAAAGATATGACCTGAGGAATGTCGTGCAGCCCAAACCCTTGCCTTCTCAGGTAATCTAACATTGTCTTTTTCGTTTGTTTGTTTGTTTCCTGCTGTTAGCAAAAGAAATGCCGTGGCCATTTGAAATGCAGGGATGTAATAACTTCCAGTGCAGTGATCTCTCAGTGAAGTGGTTGGGGCAGGAGAGCTGTCCACAGCTGAACCACCTATGCCACTTTACTGTCAAGTGGATATTTTATTATCTGTAAGGTTTCTAAAGGATGGGTAGTCCTCCTTTTCTCTTACTTCTGTTTGGACTTTATCTGTTCGTCTACAGAAATTAATAATGTCTTCTGACTTAGGCTAGCTTTTCCCCTGGTCCTGGCCTATCAAGACTTGTCATTTATCTGAGTCTAGTGCTTAAATCTCTCCTAAACAAACAAACATACAAAAGATACAAAAGTTGGAAGGATATAGACTAACACCATAGACCTCAAGTCCATCTGAAATATGATAGTCCATGAGAATTCATGTCATATTGATCTTTATTTCCTAATGTTAGCTGTAGACTTCCAGATTCTTAATCTGTTAATTTTTCTTTCCAGTTTGGACACTACTTTGAAACAACATATGATACAAGCTACAACAAAATGCCACTTTCAACACATAGTACGTAGACTGTCTTTTCTAATTCTTACATTTTGAGAACCTAACTCAGTGACTGGCACGTAGAAGGAACTCAAATAAAAGTAAACTGAGTAGGTGAATAAATGAGGCTGTGCACAGCGTCTCACGCCTGTAATCCCAGCACTTGGGAAGGCTGAGGCAAGCAGATCACTTGAGGTCAGGAGTTCCAGACCAACATGGTGAAACCCCATCTCCACTAAAAAAATACAAAAATTAGCTGGGTGTGGTGGTGCATGCCTGTAGTCCCAGCTACTCGGGAGGCTGAGGCAGGAGAATCAGTGGAACCCCAGAGGTGGAGGTTTCGGTGAGCAGAAATCACATCACTGCACTCCCACCTGGGTGACAGAGACTCCATCTCAAAAAAAAAAAAAAAAAAAAGTAGAGAGATCCAAGATGGCTGATCACTAGCAGCTCAGGATTGTAGCTCCCAGTGAAAGCACAGAGAACAAGAGGACACCACACTTTCAGACGAATTTTTGTTGCTCACGGACCAGGAGATTCCCAACGGAGGAGCCCCACGGGTCGCCAGTATGACTCTTGTGGCCGGCGCGGCGGTTCTCGGTGCAGAGTAAATGGCACTGGGTCCCCTTTTGGCCAACATTTGGAGCTCTGGGAAGGCAGAGTCACCTATTCAGCTGATTGAAGGACGGACTCAAGAAGGAAGCCAGACCAGAGATTCCCTGGCAGAAAAGCACCATCAATCTTAATGCCGCTGTTCTAGCTGGTGCAGTGGGTTGCTCAGATTCCGGCACTGGGAATCAACAAGTTGGACATCCACTCAGAAACCTAATTAGAAAGTCGGTAATTATGAAGACCACAGATGAATAAATTTATAATGAAGGGAAGAAACCAGCCTAAAAAGGCTGAGAATACCCAAAATCAGAACACCTCTCCCTCTTCAGGGGATAACAGTTCCTCATCAGCAACAGAACAAGGCCTGATGGAGAACGAGTGTGTTCCATTAACAGAAGTAGGCTTCAAAAGGTGGATGTTAAGAAACTTCTGTGAGTTAAACGAACTTGTTCTAACCCAATGCAAAGAAACTAAGAACTTTGAAAAAAGGTTTGACGAAATGCTAACAAGAATAGACAATTTAGAGAGGAATATAAATGAATTAATGGAGCTGAAAAGCACAACACGAGAACTTCACGAACCATGCACAAGTTTTAACAGCCGAATTGATCAAGAAGAAAGGATATCAGAGGTCGAAGACCAACTTAATGAAATAAAACGAGAAGACAAGTTTGGAGAAAAAAGGATAAAAAGGAATGAGCAAAGTCTCCAAGAAATATGGGACTATGTGAAAAGACCTAATATAAGTTTGATAGGTGTACCTGAATGTGACGAAGAGAATCAATCCAAGCTGGAAAATACTCTTCAGGATATTATTCAGGAAAACTTTCCCAACCTAGCAAGGCAGGATAATATTCAACTCCAGGTAATACAGAGAACACCA